CAACCCTACAGCAAAAAGGGTGAGAATTACTATGGAGATAAAGAAAGAGTCATTGCTAAGTATGAAAGTGGAGTGCATGTCTCTGAGCGGTCAGGTTGTATAATAAACCCCAATCAAACCATCGCTACTATTGTGGGTAAGAAAACGGCAATCAAGGAAGCTTTCTTGCCAAAGGTGCAGCTGCTGCTGCACCACCAGTCAAGCTGTTGTTGTTGCTGCACCACCATCATTGTATAACTCGAAGATGTGGAGAGATGTTGGTGTGGTTTTAACGTGAAACAATTACCGAGAAACGATTAACCCCGGAGGGTTAGCACCAGGATAACCCAAGAAAGTCAGTGCATCATCGAGGACCCGTAACTTATTTCCCTTGGGGTCCTTAATCTGGGCCCCCAGGGTGCGACCCACAACAGGTTGACTAACACCCAGGTGAACAGGAAAAAATGCCTGGAACTAGTGCTAAAATTGGTGAGGTTAGTGGGGAGGATGTGGAAGAGTTGGTGGAGGAGGACAGTGAAGAACAAACCACTGATGAGCTGCTAGATCATCTTAACAGTAAGAGGCCACACCTGAGGAAACTGCTTCGGGGAGGGGAGAGAGAAATTGAAGAAGTTGCCTACTTCAAAGATTAAGGAAATGTGTGCAATGTGGCTTAAAGTGCAAACCTTTTTGATGGGAAAAACACCCTCACACAGCTATTGCAAGCCATGCTGGTGACTATTAAAATGACAATGTTGTGAAACACTTTAGGATAAAGGAACGAGAGGTACAAGGCCTCTATGGACAGATATGTTGTGCGACAGAAGTCCAGTGACTCTGAAGCTGGTCCTAGTGGCATTAGAAGAACAAGGGAAGTAACCCCAGAAAAAGACTTGCTGCCTCAAGTGCTAATGGAAGGGGATTCCCCTTCTAAACACTAACAAGATCAACAGTCTCCCCTCCTCCCATCCCATTAATCATCACCAGATCTTCAATAAAGGTAAGTGTCATGTAGCTGTGCATGTCTTCTTCAGTTTGTGTGTATTAAAATTAATATTTCATGTGGTAAATTTTTTTTTTTTTTAATACTTTGGGGTGTCTTGCACGGATTAATTTGATTTCCATTATTTCTTATGGGGAAAATTAACTTGACTAACGATGTGCTCTCAGGAACGGATTAATATCGCTGGTTGAGGGTCCACTGTACATGCTGGAACCAGCTCCCATTCTGCTGGTTGCTGGTGTTAGTGTTGTGGAACCTCTTGAAGTTGCCATGGAAATTGGGAACTATCTTGTCCGTGTCTCCCAAGGGCTTCACCTCTGTCCCTCGTTTCTCACTTCTAAGTCTGCCAGGAAGCAATCGCCCTTGGATTTTTATTTATTTATTTATTTATTTATTTATTTATTAACAATTTGAGCATACATACAGAGGTACAAAAAAATACAGATAAGAGCAGCATGCCAAAGCCACTTATACTATGCATAGCATTTAGGGCTGGCTTAAAATTAACTAAGCAATGATGAAATCAGTGATAATACATTATTGTAAACAGATAACTATAAAGCACAAATGAGTATTACAAAGACAGGTCATATGGTTGCATGGGATGGAGCCATATAACCTACCTTTTACTCGCTTAGAGCCAGAATCCACGCTTTCCACTTGCCAGTCATCAGCAGCTGGGCATGATGATATTCATATCCATATGCTACAGCACCTGCATTCTACAACCCTTATAGTCCTTTTGCATCTTTTCAATTTTGTTTGGACGCGAGGGGTTCTCCCTCAACAATGGAAATTTGCCATTGTGCTACCATTTTGCAAACCAGGCACTTCAGGGATTGATACCTCTCACTAACGTCCCATTGCTCTGACCAGGGTAGTCTGCAAGGTGAAGGAACAATTGGTGAATAGATGTCTGATATGGTACATGTACCATATCAGATATTATTTCAATCCAGAAGTCTGTTTGGGTGCCGTTATAGACCGAATTTGTTCCCATAAGAGATATTGTGAATTAGATTAGTCCGTTTCAGACCCCCAAAAACACACTTACATAATTGGTCGCGTTGGGAGCTGATCGTTATGCGGGGGTCCACTGTATTTGGAGACTCGCAATAGTCTTTCTCTTCACCAATATGGCTTTTGCAAGGGCCACTCTACTTTGGACCCCTTGCTCCACTTAGATACACATGTGCAAAATGCCTTTGCTAATAAACACTCCATCCTAGCAGTCTCTCTTGATCTCAAGAAAGCATATAACACCATTTGGAGGTATAACATCTTAACCCAAGCCCACTCCTTAGGCCTCCACGGTAATCTACTGACCTTCCTTGCTGCTTTATCTGAAAGACATTTTCGTGTCAGTGTTGGCGACTTGCTTTCTCAGACTTTGTTCAGGCCGAGGGAGTCCCACAAGGTTGTGTCCTTAGCACTATGCTTTTTCTCTTGGCTATAAATGACCTACCTTCCATCACATATTTGATCATCATTTTATGTGGATGACTTCGCTATAGCTTACGCAGGCATTGACTGTCACCTGGTAATGGCCCCCCTGCAGGATACGATTGACAGTCATTTCCCATTGGGCCAATTCTCATGGATTTAAATTTTCAAGTGTGAAAGCCCATTTCATTATCTTCACTAGACAATATTCCATTGTATTTACGCAGCTCACGTATCCCGAATGTGATACGGTCAAGTTTCTTGGCCTTCTATTTGATCACCAGTTGACATGGAAACCTCACATTTCCTCTTTGAAGGCAGTTTGTCATGGTCAGCTGAATCTCCTAAAAATTCTTGCACATCGTTCGTGGGGAGCAGATCGCCAGACTCTCCTCCATTTGCATTCCACCTTAGTCTTGTCCAAGCTGGATTATGGTGACCAAGTCTATTCTGCGGCTTCTCCTACAACTCTTTCTAAGTTTATGCCATGGTGCCTTTTGTTTATTCCCTGTTGAAAGCCTCCATGCTGAGGCGAATGTTCCTTCCTTAGCCAATCATCGTGATGCTCATTGCCTTCGTTACTTTGTCTGCTCTCATGACCTTCGTGTTCCTTCTATGTATAGGTTGGTCTCAGACGTTAGTAGAAGCCCGTTATTTGTTCGGCACCCCTGCTTACTCCGACCGTTTTCTCTTCGTCTTCACTCCGGTCTTCTCTCCAGTTGCCTCCCTTTTATGTTCATGTAGTGTCTGCCTTTTCCCTTTCCCCTTGGGAGGTTCCGACGGTTCATGTCTGTTCTCCCTTACTGCCATGTGCCAAAGATCTCCTACCTACGGCTGCTTCTCACTCTCTTTCTCGATCACTTCCGGTTGCATGCTCGTCCCATTGCTGTTTATACAGATGGTTCTAAATCTTCTGACGGTGTTGGGTTTAAGGCAGTGTTCCCCAACGATGTTGTCCAGGGTCATTTGTTAGACTCGGCTAGTATTTTTACCACTGAGTTGTATGCCTTCCTCATAGCACTTCTCCGTATTACATGTATGTCTCTTTCGATGTTTCTGATCATTTCAGATTCTCTCAGTGCTTTACAGACCATTAAACAATTTGATTCCCCTCATCCACTGGTAATTCGTATTTAACTTGGGTTGTGTCATGTGGCTAGTAAAAACAAAGACATCATTTTCTGTTGGGTCCCTGGACACATTAATGTGCAGGGCAATGAACAGGTGGATGCTGCTGCACGGTCAGCGGTGCATGATCTTCTGGTTTCCTATAGAGGTATGTATTCTGTTCAGGGATTATTTTAGTCATCTCTGCCAGTCTTCATGGCCGTTGTTGCCAACAGCGGTCAGACACACACCATAACAAGTTGTACTCTATTAAACCGCTTTTGGGTTTGTGGCCATCTTCTTTCCACCATTGCCATGCCTGGAAGACTGCGCTCTCCCATCTCCACATTTGTCATACTTGCCTTACCCATGGGTATCACATGGAACGACACCCTATTTCTCTCTGTGAGGTCTGTCGGGTCCATATTTCGGTTCTCCACTTTCTTGTGGATTATCCAGTTTACCAGCAAGCTTGCGGGATTTACCTCCATCGACGGCGCCACCCTACCGCTCTTACCTTATCTTCCCTTCTTGCAGACAGCCCTGCCTTTAACTTATGATCACTTTTTGTCAGCAGCTGCTTTACTATATGAACTTTGGCACATAACCCCTAACGTCCCTTCCAGCCCTCACCTCTGATCTCTCTCCACCTAGCTGTTTATAGCCCCAGCACTATTTTCTGCCCCATGTCGATTTAGCGCTTTATTTGATTATTATAATCTCCCTACCTCTATCCTCCAGCACTCCTTTCCTCCCTCCCCAATCCAAATACCCTCTCTATCCTTCCCCTGCCCCTTCCCTTACATACAGAACACCTAAATAGATAATTCTAAAAATAAGAGCTGTGCAAACAATGAACTGTCAGTCATTTATTTTCATGCATTTTAGAAAATCTGGCACATCCTCTCCAAATCAGAGCTGGATAACTGATGCTTGACTGTACAGTGGTCCATTCTGTTCTGTACAATATGTCTTCTGTTCCAGAAAATTAATTGTACATGATTTTATGGTACGTAATTCATTCCAAAACCGTGGAAGTGCAGTTTTTACTTATTGTACCTCAGACTTGAAGAATTAGTGTGGTATTGGGTGAGAGGAATTAAACTGTAACAAAGTTCAGTTCTGTCCCCACAGAATGGGCAAGTTCTGGATCATGTCCTGGTGCAGGGCAGGCAGAGATTAGTAAAGGATTGTAGATTTAACATTTAATTTTTTACACACTTTTGCAGTCTTCTGCTGCCCATGTCTGGTACACATACACCCTCCCTCCCACCCACACATATCATATCTCAAAATTTTCACTGCAACTCTAAAATTCCTTTACAAGGGTAAATTATAACTCAAAACTATCATAACTCAAGGGATCACTGTATACACATATTACTGAAAGCACATTTTTTATCTAATATATAGTATTTTTACCCTAAGCAAATCCTTTTTATTTTAACAAATCCAGCTATATACTCACCATGGAAGAACATCCTGAAAGCATCAGAATCATAGAGCTGACAAGCACCTGCCTTTCTACATGTTTCCTTCCAATGGATGCATGCAGAATCAACTACAGCACCATATATAATTGGACATGGCACATTACCTGCAAAATTTGTGTTAAAAACAACATAAAAATATAATTTGTGTTATGCTAATTAAAATAATTTTCATTTTCTAATCCTACTCAATCCTCTTAAACTGGGCACTGCTTAAGTCATAGTTTGTATTAAGTAAAATAAAATCCCTCGCCACTCCTCCCCCTCTCCTTGGTGCTCCACAAAGCAGGATGTTCTAGCAACAAGACCTTTGTGGGTTTAGAGCTTAGTTATGATTATAATAATCTAGCAATAAGACGAGTTATGACATGTAGACACTACTGTGTGGGACTCCTCACAGGATGTTCCTTGATTTAAGGAATTGAATGTCCTCCCCTTCCTTGGACTGAACCTCATTTGCCAGGCACTGCATGATTGCTACTTTTACTTTCCTTCAGCACTCCTCACTGCCCTTACAAACTCTACCTCCATTACTGGTTTCAGATTAAGAATATTACACAGTTCACACCCTACCCTGCAGTGCTGTATGACCTTGGTGGGTTTAGTGCTTAGTTTTTATTATAATATCTATTTAAATTTGACATAAGTAAAGGAGCTGCCATTTTCAGTTGTCATCTTTATTGTGTGCCTTTTCTCTCTGCCTTCAAGCTCTTTTTTTCTTCACTGAATTTTCCTAACCTTTCCACTCACCCTATTCATTACTATCTTCCACTTCCAACTATGGGGATTCCAGCTATGCAAGTGTGTACTTTCCATCTCCAAAGACTAGCATCGTGTCTAAGACCATGTGCTCCTTCCTCCTTGAGCATTTTAAATTATATAACCTTGCTACCACTGTGTATATCAGTGGCTCCAAATGTGCAGTGTAGTGTGAGGGTTCTTTTATCCTTGGTGCCTGGTCTGAGGTCCACAAGCCTACATAGCCACCACAACCTGGTTGTTCTTTCTGGCCAGTGTGATTCAGCACTGCTTATCACAATGCAATTTGAAGCTGTGATTCTTTACATCCCATTATTCTTTACACTTCATGCTGGCTGTGTTGCCTCCAGGGAACACAGAGGTGGTCTTGTATTAGGTCACTGAGCATGTTGGTGTCAGTAACAAGCTTGCAGACTCCTCTGCTTGTTTTGCAGTTCAAGACCTTATCTCTCTGAATTCATGATTGCTGGCAGCATCTTTGGCAACCAACAAGCTGCTTTTTAATCAAAGCCCAATTATTTTTCTGGTTTACCTCTCATTGCTATCAATTATGGTAAACCATTCTTGCACACCTAATTATTGGCCCCACACAACTCCCACACGGGCACCTCCGTGGAGAGATGCCAAATGCCTCTCTCTCTCTCTCTCAGACTTGCCAAATCTTGTTGATGGTCCAATACCTTGACTGCCCTATTTATCAAAAAGGTGTGTAGTTCATCTCTGCCATTTATTTTCAACTTCTCGCTAACACATTCAATGATGATTCTCTGATTTTGTTTTTTTTTACTAAACTGGCTCATTACATTGACAATGACTTTCCCTTCTCATGTCTGTCTGCCATTAGCACACCTCTGTATGACCCTATGGGTTTAGCACACTTATGAAAATAATAAAAACACCTCTGGATGAATATTGTCTCTGTCACTTTTGCATTTTCATTTTGGATTACCAATACATATTTAGATCTTTCCATAAATATTAATATTATAACACAGCATAATAAAAACTTACTTAATAAACCAATAGCTACAGAGATAAGGCCCAGTGCCATGGCCTTGTCCTTAGGATCTACGCAGCGGAGAGTCACCAGCATGCCACCCACCTCTGACGTGGAATGTATCAACACAAACACAGAGAAGATGATGACGTACCTGTGAAATTGATAAGGGCCAACTGAAGCATTTTGTACTCTATTATTAATTTATTCTATTGACAGTTTTTTGAAGGTTTGTTTCCCCCCAAAAAAAACATAACTTTTCATTTATGTTTTGTGCTATACAGCATTAGTGATCAAAGCAGTAGTTAACATGCAGTTCTGGCTTTATCCATTTGTTTTTCTGTTTATCTCCATTATTTTAAAAGGAAGATAAAAGTTAAATTTAGGACTAGAATTAAGTAGTAGATGTACAGTTTTTTGTACAATTTAGGATTAGTTTGTCTGAAATGCTTTACACAATAAGAGGTTTTCTATAGAACATGCATTTGCATCATATAATATCTATTATAACTGTATCAAAGCTATAACCAAATGAACTGTAAATATAATTTTGATGGGTAATTAACAGAAATAAGTATTTTATTTATTTACTATATTACCCTTGTGGGTTTAGTGCTTAGTTATGATTATTTATTTAACAAGTTTACAATTCTTTTCTTTCAATAAATCGACCATACCCCACCGAGGCAGGATGGCCCAAAAAGATAACGAAAGTTTCTCTTTTTAACTTCAGTAATATACACAGGAGAAGAGGTCACTATCCCCTTGCTCACGGCATGTTAGTCGTCTCTTACAACACACATGCCTTATGGAGGAAGAATTCTCTTCCACTTCCCCATGGAGATAAGAGGAAATAAACAAGAACTAGTAAGAAAATAAAAGAAAACCCAGAGGGGTGTGTGTATATATATGCTTGTACAGTAGGGCCCCGCTTTACGGTGTTTTGCCTTACAGTATTCTGCTAATACAGAGATTTCAAATTATGACCAAAACTTGCTATATGGCTCCCAGTCTTTCTAATATGGCATGCCCCACTTGGTTTGTTTACATTCTCCATGAGCACAACTATTTGTCTGGAAATTTTCCAAAATTTCAAATGTTTTAAAGTTATTGCATATTTTATATATACTATCAGAGTATATATTTTATATATACTCTGATAATTATACCTATGTGTACCCGTACCTAAATATACTTACACAGTGCTGGCATGCAGGTACACATTAAAATCACTAAGTCTCTCTCTACTCTTGATGCCATATAATAATCTCTTGGGCGCATTAAATGTCATATATTACATTAATATAGACATTATCATTAATCCATCTATGATATTTTTTCAAAATTATATAATAAACATGCTACATAACATATAAACATGATACATACACCCACAGTATAAAAATTGACATAAATATGAGATGTGTTTACCAAACAGTTTGTAGGAGTGTCAGAAGAATTACATTTCTCTAGTCAAACACCAGTTACTGGGAATAACTGTGGAAAAATATTCCTTTCATATGCCTTCACTCTATAGCTATTTATGACCCTTGTGGGTTTAGAGCTTCCTTTTTATTATGATAATAATATCATTCACTCTAAAAATGGTGTGTTGCATGAGAATGGGAGTGTTGCTGTTTATTTATTCTTCTGTATTAAATTGTCAGAGCATCATTCTTTCTAAAAATGATGTTACATGAGATTGGAAATGTTGCTCTTTATTTATTCTACTGTACCACTGTGGAGACAACTTGTACACTTGTATGATCGTGTATCAACCATAACTAGACGCGTTCATTCGTTTACATGGGTACTCTGTGGCTCTGTCCTCTTACTCGTTCTCTCTCATTTATTTGTTATCTCACTCACCTCTCACCCTACATTAAGACTACAAATATTTTAAGATAAGTAATGAGTGTACTGTATAGCCCTTGTGGCTTAGCGCTTCTTTTTGATTATAATAATAATAATAGGGCACTTTCAATGTAGTAGTAGTTGGGGTGGCCAGGCAGGCTATCATACCTCCCACACCTGACTTTCTACAAATAATTACTTTTCACCTCTCACCCTACATTAAGATCATTAAGACTACAAATATTTTAAGGTAAGTAATGAGTGTACGGTATATGTATTTTATCACTCTAGGACACTTTCAATGCCACAACATATTATGTGTGGATGGGGTGGCCAGGAGGGCTACCACACCTGACTTCTTACAATAAATACTACATGCCTTTTGCTCTACATTAAGACTACAAATATTTTGAGGTAAATAATGAGTATACTGTGTGTGTATTTTACTTTTTATTGTTTTTTAATGCCTAGTTCTATTGCTAACTTAATATATGTTAGTGTAAACTTGTTATCTGGCATTCATATGCATTTATAAGTGGAAAAAAATGGCTGTCTGCTTTGCAGTGGTAGCCTGGAACCTAACCTGCCATATAAGTGGGCCCCTACTGTACATGCATGATTAGTGTGACTTAAGGGTAAGTAGAAGTAGCAAGACATACCTGAAACCTTGCATGTTTATGAGACAGAAAAAAAAGACACCAGCAGTCCTACCATCATGTAAAACAATTACAGTGGACCCCCAACTTACGATATTAATCTGTTCCTGAGAGCACATCATAAGACAAAATTATTGTAAGTCGAATTAATTTTCCCCATAAGAAATAATGGAAATCAAATTAATCCGTTCAAGACACTCAAAAGTATGAAAAAAAAATTATTTTGCCACATGAAATACACATTTTCCTACACACAAAAAGAAGGATACATGCACAATATATATTATGCATGTACTAGTGTACTAAATGAGAAATAAATGACACTGGGAGTGCCTTTTCCTCCTGAGTAATGTAGGTCCTGTTTGGCATTTTCTTTCAGAACAGGCCTTATCACACTGTGTATGCCACTACGATTCTTAAATCTCTCAAACCAACCTTTGCTGGCCTTAAATTCACCAATATGAGCACTAGTCCCAGGTATTTTTTCCTGTTCATCTGGGTGTTAGTCGACTGGTGTGGGTCACATCCTGGGGGACAAGATTAAGGACCCCAATGGAAATATGTTAGACAGTCCTCGATGACACTGGCTTTCTTGGGTTATCCTGGGTGGCTAACACTCTGGGGTTAATTGTTTCTCAGTATTCTCGATAAGCCACACCAATAACAGTCTCTCCACATCTTCGAGTAGTACAGCTGACCATGGTGCAGCAGCAGCAGCTGACCATGGTGCAGCAGTAGCTGATGGTGCTACAGCAGCAGCTGATCGTGCTACAGCAGCTGATAGTGGTACTATAGTATTTCAATAGTATTTCTCACCCTTTTTAATCACAGGGTTGGCACTAGAAGCTTTCTTTGGGCCCATGGTGGCTTATTTAGCAGTTACAAGCACTATAAACACTGCAATAATACAAAATTTATCTAATGTATGCGTTCAACCGTCTGCCCCGGCTTGTAAACAATGTCACACTAGCTCAGCTGAGGCGCTCAGGCCAGACCGCTGCGTTTGGGATGAATGATGTAAGTCGAGTTTTTCAACATAGGTTGGGGTCAAATTTTTACACTGACAAGCATCGTAAGTCGATTTTAACGTAGGTTGAGGACATCGTAAGTCGGGGGTCCATTGTACAGGTAGAAGTAGCAAGACATACCTGAAACCTTGCATGTTTATGACACAGAAAAAAAGACACCAGCAATCCTACCATCATGTAAAACAATTACAGGCTTTCATTTTACACTCAATTGACAAGACAGTAGTACCTCCTTGGGTGGTTGCTGTCTACCAACCTACTACCTAGATTTGCAATTATTACAGTGTATATTTTGTATTTATGACGAGGATGTGTTCAATTCATACTGATCATTGACAGGAATGAGAGATGATCATGCTTGATCCAAGGGAAGAGTAGCTCCAATGCCCTATATTAAAACGCCCTTCACCAGTATTAACATGGCTCCCTTAACCCTTTCAGGGTCCGTCCCGTAGATCTACGGCTTCACATCGAGTGTCCAAACCGTAGATCTACGCCAAAATTCTAGCGGCGTCAAATTTAGCATGAAAGTGCTCATTGGCCTACATGTGAGAGAACAGGTCTGCGTGGTGGGTGTGCGCCATAAACAAAAAATCTAGGCACCCGCATAGCATTGTGGGAACGCCGGCTCAGTTACCCTTGTTCACCTATGCCTCGTTGCAAGTCAGCTCTCACTCCCCGGAAAATTGGGACTCTCCTCTTCCTATCTGATAGTTCTGACACTGATGGAAGTGGAAATGAAGACGAATTCTACGGCTCTGATCAGTTAGTGACCGAAAGGAATGACCAGGATATCGATAATAGTGCAGAAAACCCTGACGATCCTCAACCTTCTACCTCTGGTGTGGGCACTCGTGACTCACGGTCGGTTGTGCCTCAATGCAAGAGAAAACTAATATTTTCGCGTGGCCAGGCCTCTGACTTCAGTAATGATGATGATAGTGACGTGGATTGTGATTTTATTGCTCTCGACGATCATTCGAGTAGTGATAGTGAGGAATCATATTCACCAGTGAAGCGTCGGTATGTTCGCTGCCGCATGCGTTCAGGTAGTGTACCCTATGCTGTGCCCAGGGGACGGAGTACATCCCGGAGTACATCCCGTGGCCCTACACCAGTTTTAGGTAGTGATAGTGAGGATGATGTGGTTACACTTGGCATGGATAGACCACAGGCATCAGTGGGTAGTGGTGATGGTAGTGGCACCGCCATGCGTGACTCACCAGCCCAGGCTGGGACCCATGCTGCTGACTCGTCAGTTCAAGGACAAAGCGGAGCGTCAGCCACCAGCCCACCACAACCACAACCACCCGCACAACCAGCCTATGATGTCCAGTATCCACCAGCAAACAGTATGTGGGATTGGCAGCAAAATCCCAATTTTGTTCCCAAGTCTCACCACTTCGATGACTCTCAAAGTGGAATTCTACCTACTTGTCCCCTTGGAACCACGACCAATGAACTGGAATTCTTTGAATTATTCTTTGACCAGCCATTGATGGAAACTATTGTCAGGGAAAGTAATAAGTATTTTGAGTACACCATGGCAAATACGATCTTATCACCACAGTCAAGACTACACAGGTGGAAAGAGACGACTGTTGCAGAAATGTATTTGCTTTTTGCAACAATAATGCTTATGCCTCATGTCTATAAGCATAATATAAAAGCATACTGGTCCACAGATCGGCTAATTTCTACCCCGGTCTTCAGTGAAATCATCCCAGTGAACAGGTTTATCTTACTCTTACGTATGTTGCACTTCTCTGACAAAACCAGGCCTGACAGAAGTGACAGGTTATATAAGATTAGAAATGTTTTCATGTATCTCAAACAAAAGTTCAGCGTATACTTTTATCCATGTCTTTGATTTTGTTCAAAGGTAGACTGTCATTCAAGCAGTATATACCAAGCAAGAGGAAATGCTTTGGTATAAAACTGTTTGTACTCTGTGACTGTGACAGTGGCCTGGTGTTGGATATTGTTGTATACATGGGAAGTAAAACATTGAAAGATACCAAGATGTTATTGGGTATCTCAGGTGACGTAGTAAGAAACATGATGGCACCTTATCTTGGTAAGGGGCATGCATTATATACCAATAACTGGTACACAAGCCCATTACTCAGTGATTTCATGCGAGTGAACAAGACAGATGTGTGTGGCACAGTGCATTCTAATCGTAAACATATGTCCAGGCTCAACGCAGGTGCTCGTGGTGATGATGTGCAGGTGTTTACTGCCAATGACATCATGGCATTACGGTGGCATGACAAACGAGATGTCACATTGTTGACAACCATTCACCGTAATGAAATGCAAGACAGTGGCAAAGTTGATCGAGTGACTAATGAACGTATTCGAAAACCAGTGACAGTGATTGATTATACACAAAACATGCGCTTGGTTGACAAGTGTGACATGCAGATTGGTTTTGTTGACTGTGTTCGTAAGAGTTACAAGTGGTACATGAAACTTTTCTTCCATCTCATGGACATTTCAATGCTCAATGCATATAATATGCACCAAATAAAGACTGGCAACAGACCACTGTATGGTGAATTTTGTTTGTCTGTTGTCAGACAACTCATAATGAAGTACCAGGTAAGAACACCTGCTATACAACAAGGTCCTCGAATTACTCAGGATATACCCATGCATTTGAGGAGGGAAGGTGATCATTTCATAATACAGCTTCCTTCAACTCAGAAGAGATGCATCGTCTGTGCACAAACAAAACGACGGCAACAAAGACGCAAAGACACTCGGTTTATGTGTGAAGAATGTAAGGTGCCTCTGTGCATGGTGCCTTGTTTCAAAGAGTTCCACAAGCTCCAGCAGTTCTAAAACCATGTCCAGTGATTGTAAATATATGATAGAACATTAGTACAGTGGACCCCAGCATAACGATATTAATCCGTTCCTGAGAGCTCATTGTTATGCGAAATTATCGTTATGCGAATGAATTTTCCCCATAAGAAATAATGGAAATCAAATTAATCCATGCAAGACACCCAAAAGTATGAAAAAAAAATTTTACCACATGAAATATACATTTTCCTACACACAAAGAGAAGGATACATGCACAATAGTAGAGTAGTACATGCACAATATATATTGTGCATGTACTACTCTACTAAATAAAGAATAAATGACACTTACCTTTATTGAAGATGCAGCAATGACTGATGAGACACTGTGTCCTGGGAGTGCCTTTTCCTCCTGAGTACTGTAGGTCCTGTTTGGCATTTTCTTCCAGAACAGGCCTTATCACACTGTGTATGCCACTACGATTCTTAAATCTCTCAAACCAACCTTTGCTGGCTTTAAATTCACCAATATGAGCACTAGTTCCAGGCGTTTTTCCCTGTTCACCTGGGTGTTAGTCGACTGGTGTGGGTTACATCCTGGGAGATAAGATTGGCTAACCCTCTGCGGTTAATTGTTTCTTGGTATTCTCAATAAGCCACACCAACAACGGTGCTACAGCAGCAGCAGACGATGCTACAGCAGCAGCAGATGGTACTACAGCAGCAGCAGCAGCTGACGGTGCTACAGCAGCAGCAGCAGCAGCTGACGGTGCTACAGCAGCAGCAGCTGACAGTGCTACAGCAGCAGCAGCAGCAGCAGCAGCAGCAGACAGTGCAGCAGCAGCAGACGATGCTACAGCAGCAGCAGCATCAGCAGTTGACCATGGTACCACAGTATTAGCACTAGAAGCTTTCTTGGGGCCCATGGTCACTTATTTTGCAGATAAAATCACCAAAAACACTGTAATAATACAAAATGTTACGATTGTATGCTTGGATGTTACCGCGGAGGCTGGCTTGTAAACAATGCCACCGGCGGAACATGTGAGGCTGGCTCAGGCCGCACATTAGACGCGTCTCGGACGTTTAGTGATGAGCGGGTTTTTTAGCGGTATGCGAGGCAAAATCTTAGCGATAAAATGTATCGGTATGCGGATTTAACGTTATGTGATGCCAACGATATGCGGGGGTCCACTGTATTATACAAGATTTGTGCATGTTTATTGTAATAAACAACAGTGGTAAACAATAATATGATAATAACTTTAGTGCGGTTATTGTGTTCAATACAGTGAGTTTATATATATACATTATATACAGTATTGGTCTCTCAGGCCCCAAATGTTAGTAGGAAAAGAAAAAAATTGGAAAAAGAAAAGAAAAAACTATAAAAACCGCTAAATAATCTAATGCGCGTATGTGGAATTCGTCGATGTTGCCGCCACCACATCATTTTGGACAAACTTCTTGGCACTGTATCTCGGTAAGTACTGATCAGAATTTTTTTTTTGTCTTATTACCTTCACAAAAATATGCTCTTTAATTCTGTAAGAAAAAATAATTTTTTTTTTTTTTTTTTTTCAAAATTTCTTGGACACTGGAGCACCACTTCAGATTTTGGCCTTGGACCCTGAAGGGGTTAAAGGCATAGAGGAAAGTTAAAATGGGGTGAATCTGTATGCATTATTTTCCTCTATGCATATAACATCACATTAATGAATTTGATGCTGTTAGTTTTTAAATATACAGGTAAACATTTCTACTGTTTTATTTTGTTACTATTATTATATAAAAAATATGCACTAAAGCTGCATGGGTCATACAGCTGTTTTACCATAAAGAATTTTTTCTTATGTATAATAACTACAATTTTTTGCTGAATTACTTATTTATTCTTATAGTTTACATATTTCATACTGTCAGGTGTTTCTTCCCCTAAGTTACATCTGTGTAAAGGTCAAGTCTTCCAATGTTAAACCTTTCATTTATTAGCTTTACTTGTGCCCTAAATACCATATAATATATATATATATATCCTAGGTAGTAGGTTGGTAAACAGCAACCACCCTGGGAGGTACTACCGTCCTGCCAAGTGAGTGTACAATGAAAACCTGCAATTGTTTTACATGATGGTAGGATTGCTGGTTCTCCATGGGGAAGTGGAACAGAATTCTTCCTCCGTAAGCCATGCATGTTGTAAGAGGCAACTAAAATGCCAGAGCAAGGGGCTAGTAACCCCTTCTCCTGTATATATTACTAAATGTAAAAGGAGAAGCTTTCGTTTTTCCTTTTGGGCCACCACGCCTCGGTGGGATATGGCCGGTGTGTTGAAGGAAAGAAAGGATTGCTGGTGTCTTTTGTCTGTCTCATAAACATGCAAGATTTCAGGTATGTCTTGCTACTTCTACTTGCACTTAGGTCACACTACACATACATGTACAAGCATATATATACACACCCCTCTGGGTATTCTTCTATTTTCTTTCTAGTTCTTGTTCTTGTTTATTTCCTCTTATCTCCATGGGGAAGTGGAACAGAATTCTTCCTCCGTAAGCCATGCGTGTTGTAAGAGGTGACTAAAATGCCAGGAGCAAGGGGCTAGTAACCCCTTCTCCCATATAAATTACTAAATTTAAAAGAGAAACTTTTGCAGATACAGGGGTTCTACTGTATCTCTAATTTTTATTAATTTATTAATGGTAACACATTGACAACTTTGCAAGGTTTCTTCCTCTGTAAGCCATGCACGTCGTAAGAGGTGACTAAATTGCTGGGAGTAAGGGGCTAGTAACCCCCTTCTGTATACATTACTAAATTTGAAGAGAAGCTTTTGCTTTTTCTTTTTAGATCACTCTGCCTTGGTGGGATATAGCCGGTTTGATAGAAAAAACAATGACAACTTGACCCCAGTACAAATAAAATGAAAAAAAAAAAAAAGGCAGTAGCTTGAGATAATACACAATAAGGAGACATACCAGACAAAGTTGTTACACTTCATTCCACACAGCTTCAATACTGCTGTCTGACCTTCCTCCAAGCAATCACAATTGGAGAACTGAAGGTAAATAAGAATAAAAGAAAATATTACAAAAACAATTGTAAACACTGTCACTAAAAATACATACAATAAAGGAAATAAATGTATCATTAATTTGTGCTACATTGAATTCCAGAGGAGAGACTGACATACAGTGGATCACTGTCTCACCCACTTTGGGAGATGAGGAAGGATGCATTGAATTTTCAACATGAGATGATCATGGAATTTTTATGGTTCCACTGTTTTGCACATTTATCTCTTTTTCATATCTGTTTAAGTGTTGAACTGAACAAAATCTCCAGTTAATGTTAGAAACAGAATAACCGATTGATGTATAATCACTGATCGGCTATAGTCAGTCCCCAGCGAGGGGCTCTGCCTCCAACTGGACCTACTGTATTGTGCATTTCCTTGAATTGAACCTGACTGCCTCCCATTTACCCAGGTGCTGTATGACCCCTATGGGTTTTGTGCTCCCCATAAATATTATAATAGTATTCACTTTTATTTCATGTTTATTTTCAGAGTGTGGGTTTTCCGAGTAACCTTTTCTGATGTTCCTCCGAGTTATATGAGGTGTTGCCTGGCAGAAAATAGGTGCCGCCAAAACCAAAATCTGGGTTTGTGAACAAGTGATTCCTTGTTTGGTCTGTGAGAAGGTATAGGTATTATCTTATGCACCTGTTAGGATCAGAGCTTCTTAGCTCCCATCTCCCATTTGCCTGTGTTTTCCTCCATTACTTTAATTTGATGCTTATCCTTTTCTGCCAAACAACACTTTATATAATATGTGTAGTTTTAATTTTCTCAATCCATCATCAATGACAACAAAGGCAGAAGTAATATCCTACCACAAGTTGATTGGTCTCCTTAAAAAGAGTGGCATTAGAGCACCCCAAGTGACAGGAGGAAAAGTAGGTGTTGCCTTGCAGGTCACATACTGGAGCGAAGGTGGTGGCATCACACTCACCACACGTCCTATTGCACACTGGCGTGAAGTGCTTTCCACTGAAGATTACAAGAGTAATATTAGTACCTCAAGGCTCACACACAGTAGCTTTCCAAATTTCGTTATATTCACAATATAAATGACATTTATCTAATATAGTTACAACAACTGTTGTTAGTATCATGCCAATTACTTTCAAATTAAAATACTACTTTTTTCTCATTTGTAATATTAATGAAATATCCCTCTGACTTAGAATATCCCCTTCATGTTGTACTGCTTGACACTGTAGAAGAACATTTGATCAAAAGAGATAGAACTATACTCCCCATCCTTTCATCAAACCCAATTACCCCCCATTCTCCAGATAATATATGAGCCTTATGTTTTTAGCATTTACTGATAATAATAATAATAATAATAATAATTAGAAAAAATAAAACTTGGAGATGCCTGCAATACTTGCTTTACACAATGACTCACCTTTCGTCTTCTACGACACCCACAAAGTTCTCCGGAGGACACCCAACAAACATCAGGATCACCATACCTGGCAAGAAAATGTAACCATCAATTTTTTTTTAAGAGTTCAATTTACAAGCTAAGAGCCTGGCTGGCAAAGCTCTTGCTTCACACGTAGAGGGCCCAAGTTTGATTCCCAGCAGGGTGGAAACATTTCAACATGTTTCCTTACAACTCTCGTCATGTTCACCTAGCAGCAAATAGGTACCTGGGTGTTAGTCGACTGGTGTGGGTCGCATCCTGGGGGACAAGATTGAAGACCCCAATGGAAATAAGACAGACAGTCCTTGATGAAGCACTGCCTTTCTTGGGTTATCCTGGGTGGCTAACCCTCCAGGGTTAAAAATCTGAATGAAATCTTATCTTAACAGCCTGACTAGGTAGAAACCAGGCTGCAATCAAACTTCAATCTCAATCTCTCTCTCAATCTCTATCTATCTCTATCTCTATCTATCTATATCTCTCTCTCTCTCCACTGAATGACCCATTGTTACGACTTTCATGTCGTAACTTAAATAAAATTTTTGGTCCTGGCTCCTAAAGGCTGCTCACAATGCTGTCTAGGAGTTATAAAACTACACTGAAAAACACAGCAACTTTTGGGCCAGCATGTATTCATACACATTAAGAAGAATGAGTGCAAATAATTAATGTTGTATAAGTAAGGACATAAAAACTCACCTATACAAAAATATATCTATATTAATAGTAACTTATATACAACTTACAATCTACTCCAAAAAACCACCACACTCCAATTCACATAAGCTCACTAGCACACTGCTACTAATGAGTTAAAATATATAAACTGGGAAGCTTTATGACACCCCCCCTTCCTTCCTGCCGGCTACTCAGCCTACAGTTAAAATATTAAATGCTCTTTAACCCTTTGAGGGTTTTCGTCGTACTAGTACGTCTTACGCGTAGGGGTTTTTGACGTACTAGTACTCATAAATTCTAGCGACCTCAAATCTAGTGGGAGAAAGCTGGTAGGCCTTCATATGAAAGAATGGGTCTATGTGGTCAGTGTGCACAGTCTAAAAAAAATCCTGCAGCACACGGTGCATAATGAGAAAAAAAAAACTTTTTCCATTTTTTTTTAATAAATCAGTGACTTTGCAGTGTATTTTCGTATAGTATTTATTGTTGTATTCTAGTTTTCTTGGTCTCATTTTATAGAATGGAAGACATATTACTGAAATTGAGATGATTTTGACTGGTTTTACAATGAAAGGTGCCTTGAAATTGAGCTCAAAGTAGCAGAAATGTTCGATTTTTACCAAACTTCAAAAGTAAACAAATCATGCCAAGCGTGCAATACACGTCAACTGGTGAGTCTAATATTCTTTCACAAGTGCACCAATAATATTTATACCATTTTTTACACTAATGCAGTAGTCTGCATAACAGTAAATCTTATATTTTTTGTGAGAATAAAAATTCAAAGTGGAAAGCAAAAGAATATAAGAGGGGCCTTGAGACGTGACTAATGACTAGAGGAAATGTCATTTTAGTGCCAGGAATGTCTTTCTTGTTTATTCTGGACCCTATTCCGAAATTGGCATCTTTTGAAATTTGTGTGAAATTGGCAAAATTGCTAAATTCTGACCACTGTACTGGATAGTTGAATTTATAAATGGGTGGTTTCTTGCACCCATTCGATAGAAAAAATGGAGTTCTAGCGAAATATTCATGTTTTTTGCCGACTAGTACAGTGAAATTGGCCGAAAATGGGGCTCAAAGTGGGCAAAATCGCCGATCCGTAAACATCGCCGAGACCGCTAACTTTGCGAGAGCATAATTCCGTAAGTTTTCTATCAAATTTCAAACTTTTGGTGTCGTTATGATCGGGAAAAGATTCTCTATCTTTTCATAAGAGAAAATAATTTTTTTTTTTTTTTAAATTTGGCCGACCCTGAGAACGAGTTTCGGAGAGGGCCTGTCGACCCTCAAAGGGTTAAAACACTGGCCCTTGCACACACACTAGGGCTTTATAAATAAATGAGAGCAGAAAATACACAAAATAGAATACACAAAAAAAAACCTTACCCAATACCACCTACTCAAGACATCTCGCCTCCTCTGCTGTGCGTAACCTACTGCCTAAACACACCTCATCTGCTCCTGTCCTGGCCACTCTGCCTGTGACAGGAATACTCCCGGAACTTCTGCATGTCACTGCGTAACACTCATATAGCCTTGCACTTCACAAAGTACAACGCAATGCAATATTGGCTAAGAGCTGTTATCCTACCTACACTAAATTCAAAGCCCAACCCTCTCTCAGATATATTTCCGCCTGGAAGAATATGACCCACAACAACTGACAAACACCTAGGTACCTATTTAATGTTACCTGAACAAAGGTAGTAGGGGTAAGGAGAGTAGATCATATGCCATGCTACATTCAGGAATCAAACCAGAGTCCTTGTGGTTGTGTGTTGAATGCTCTGCCACAGAACTACAAGTTTTAATGTCACATATCAAGCATAACCAACTCACAAATTGGAAATGATAGTTGAACAATGTTTTGGTCCATCATGAACCATTAATGCATGAACTTGGTTCATTACTACATTAAGCTGGTCCATCTTGAACCATCAATGTAACAAGTTGATCCATTATGAACCATTAGTGTAACAAGTTGGTCCATCCTGAGCCATTAGTGTATCTAGGTCCTAGACGGGCTGGAACGTGCCATTCTGTAGGAAGATGCAAAATGATGAACTGTGCACCATTGAATACAGCATTAAATTAGGTACTGGTAGTTACACAATAACTGGCAGGTCTCCAATCATTCTGAATACACTGCTAAAACAACTTAGCCACAGTGGTTCATAAGCATTCTAGCTACATTCTGCTAGTGAAGGACTCTTGATGCAAAGAATTTAAGCTACCCTCTCCTTCAGATCAAACATGATTACCTTTCAAAGCAAAAAAAGCTACAGGCTCCTTCAGTCAATGAACATTATAAATTGTATATCTTAAATGTTTCTCACAATTATATCACATAAATGTTAAACCTAAAACCCAATCTAACTTTATTATTTTTTAAATACACTACCTAACAGAATCACTACCTAACTGAATGCAACCATATGACCTGTCTTTGTAATACTCACTTGTGCTTTATAGTTATCTGTTTACATTAATGTTTTATCACTGATTTCATCATTGCTTAGTAGCAGCGCTGTATAGTCCTTGTGGCTTAGCGCTTCTTTTTGATTATAATAATAATAATAATAATCATTGCTTAGTTAATCTTAAGTTAATTTTAAGCCAGCCCGTAATGCTATGCATAGTATAAGTGGCTTTGGCATACTGCTCTTATCTGTATTTTTTTTGTACCTCTGTATGTGTGCACAAATTGGAAATAAATAAATAAATAAATGATTAGCTGAAGAAGCTTGTCAGTGGGAAAAACATCTCAATAAAGTTCCTCTCTGTAACTGTGTCTTTTTCACCACTTGTTGGCTGTGCACCATTAGTCTCCACTGATTCCTTCTTGTTCATTCAATACTGTATGACTCCTATAACTTCAAAACTACCCAATTAATATATTAAGAGCCTAGCAAAAACTGCCAATCTTCCTATAGAGTAGATAAAGGTGGTACCAACCTACGGAGTAGATGAAGGCAGTACCAACCTACGGAGTAGATGAAGGCAGTACCAACCTACGGAGTAGATGAAGGCAGTACCAACCTACGGAGTAGATGAAGGCAGTACCAACCTACGGAGTAGATGAAGGCAGTACCTACCTATTGAGTAGATGAAGGCAGTGAGAGCAATCCAGGCAGCAACAGTGCGAGCCGTCAGCTTGGCTCTCCTTATGAACACACCACTGGCAAAGATGCCTACACCCATGACCAGAATACCTCCAATACCTGCAAGCCAATAAAGCTAATGAAGTAGCAAATATATAAAATTTCATATATTAATAATTTGATATATGTAATATGAGATAGGAAATAAATGTAAAAGTTACAATATACGATGGAGGAGTAGCCATCCTGTTATCAGTGCATAATAGACAGAGGCTGATGAATTAATCTAAATTCAGAAATGAATTCTTTTGAATCACACCAGCCATCTTTCACAAAGCTAGGGTGACACAAAAAAAATGAATTTATCATCATTCATTTATTCACTGTCTTGCCAGAAGTGAATATATATCACATTTTATAGAACACTCTGAACTGCAACATCCCCACCTATCCTTCAGAGTGCAGATACTGAGCTTCCCCGTCCCCAAGACTCAAGTCTGGCTAACCAGTTTCCCTGACTCCATGTTACCTTGCTCACACTGCAACAACACATCAAATCCTAAAAAATCCATTTTTCACTCCAGATTAATATAGTCACCCAAGCCTGCTGGATGCTCAATGCCCTACCCTTCACACCTTCCCTTCAACCTTTATTGGATGCCCATCATTCTCAAATCTATAAACTCTCTTGGTCTATTATTCTGATCCTCCAACCTTTCTAAATGACTAAACTACCTCAATAACTCCTCCAATTTTCCAATTCTCTGTGTAATAATCACATCACATTTCTCTCAAACATAATATCTCCAATACCTCCAGCCTCCTCCTCACTGCAATTGTATATACTGTACTAATAAACCAATCACCCCAAAATTATAACCCCACTTACTATCTGCATCTGTTTTAATTACAGCTGACCTGTTAGTTTTATCCCTTTCATCCTAGCTAATGCCTCCAGGAACCACTAAACCTAAAAGGGTTGCTTAGCAGAAAGGGGTAAATGGATTCATAGCAAGAAATCACCAGTGAGGTGATACAAGGACCAGTGCTTGCCCTGATATTTCTAATTTACTTACTGTAATGTAAATGACTTGCCAGAGGGAATAAAAAATATATACAATACATGTTTGTTGGTGATGCAAAGATATTATGCAGTATTAGTAATATATCTGACTATAAATCCCCTAAAAGAAGAGTGGCATATATTGAGCAAATGAAGTTGTAAATGACAGAATTTACTGTAATGTACTGTAGATACTTGCCATGTTATGATAGTATAAGAAAGCACTAATAAAGCACATTAATTATATACAGTATTGAGCGATAAAAGATTAAAAGCATTCCACAGAGAGAGGGATCTAGTCTTCAGATATATATAAATTGGAAATTTAAAAAAAAAAATTTACTATGTTATGCCAAATTTGGAAAATATAGTGGTGTAGAGTATACACCTAAAAATATGTGGATAAATTGATAAAGCCAAAAGACGAGCTCAAAAATGGCTCAAAAATCCAAGAAATATGACAATGCAGAAGGAGTAAGAACACAAAAAAATGCCCTCAGTGGCTAAAAGGAGGAAAATACAAGATACCATAACCATAAAAGGTCATAAAAGATACAAAAAAAAAAAAAAAAAAAAAGAACATTTCTTGAACTATTAACGAGAACAAAAAAAAAAATTGCAGCACAGTGAAACTAAGAAAATGGAGGTTCCAAAGCATTCTGAAAAAAATTTCTTACAGTGGTATAACATGGAATGGGTCATGCAGAAGTACTACAACCACTGGAAATTAAAAAGGATTACACAACAGAATGAACACTGAGGATGAGGCCCCACATGCATAGCTCTGCTCCTGTAGTTACAAGTAAATAACCACAAACGGGTACTATACTGTACCACACTCCACTTCTTCAGTGCCCTCCCACCAAAAGAAATTATGTATATATTTTTCCCTTATTTTGGCTTTCAGGTTTTTCATTTCTCCCTTTGTTCTCATTTCACCTCTTTCAAACAGTTACTATCCACCTGAGAATTTTGAACGTTGTGACCATATCTTTTGTGTTCTTTCTTGCCTCCAGTGATACAAGGTTTAGCTACTGAAGCCTGCCTTCATCTTCAGGTACCTAATCTCAGGGACAGTAACACATTTCTGAACCTTCTCAAGCTTTCTTTTATATCTGAAGAAGTAAGGATTCCATGCTGATGCTGCATACTCCAATACTGTATTCATATAGGTATATAATACCTAGGAGTACTGTACTTGGCAAGCTTCCAGAGGGCTATTCATAGATTTCCCATTGCTGCATACGCTGGTAATATCTGTTTTTTTGTGGCCCTTTGACAACAGGTTAGGTGTTATGTCTATCCCTAGATCCTCCTCCCTTTCTAACAAAGGCAGTGACCTCCCATTTAGTTGATACTGTGCTGTACTACTGGTCTCCATTCTCTTCCTCTCATCCTCATTACCTTGCTCTAACAGGGTTGAACTCAAACAGCCATTTATTTGACCATTGTTGCAGCCTGTCCATGTCATCTTGCAGTTTTTTGCAATCCTTCTTCATCTGTATTCTTTGTATGAGCTTTGCATTATCTGCAAAAAGGGACATGTATAAATCGATCTACCCTGACAGGACAATGATATATATCAAGAACAGCATGGGATCATGAACTGATCCAATGTCTCCTCTCTTATAATGATTCTTTGCTTCCTGCCTGTCAGGTTCTCCTTCATCCAGTGAAGTACTTGACCCTCCCTCATATCCAAACATTAATCCCCATCTCGTAAATGAGTCACCTATGGGATACCAAGTCGAAGGCCTTTTAACAGTTTATGAAAATGCAGTCTTCCCACATTTCCCTTTCCTGTTTTTTATCATCCTCTCACAGAATTCAAACATGTTAGTGATGCATACGTACATACGTGTGTGTACGTGTGTGTACGTGTGTGTGTGTGTGTGTTGTGTGTGTGTGTGTGTGTGTGTGTGTGTGTGTGTCTATGTCTATAGAGGCATTACACAAGTGTTTCACATATGTGCCTACTTGCTTTCACTTGGACTGAACTACAGCTCCTGGACCTTGCCTCTAGCTACAAATCAACCACTAAGTGTACCTCCTGAGGCTCATGGAATATACTGTATTATTAAAATCATAACTAAGTGCTAAACCCACAAGGGTCATACAGCGCTGAGGAATGTACTGTAGTATACTTACATTTGAACATGCATATGGAGTAAGCCTCCACTACCTTTTTGCCTAGGATATTCTACTTGCTTGTTACCAGCAACCTCATATTAAAGAAGAACTTTCTTACAACTTTGGCTCCTTTAGGCATTTAGCTTCCATCGGTATCCAGCATTCTGGTTCTACCCCTGTTAAAGAGTTTATGTTCACTTTTTAAATTGCTATGAGCATCTTTAACATTAGTATGTTCAACTCACAATCAAGAAGGACCTGGATTCAATTCCCAGCATGAGACATAAATGAACAGCTGCTCCTGTTCAAACAATAGTTAACATGCACTGAGGAGTTAGTTGATTGGTAAAAAGAAACTTTCAGAAAAGAAATCTTTTATTAATGTAATATTTCACCCACTGGGGTTTTATCAAGCACAATACTATACACGTAATACATAAAAACAGTGGCATACAGAGCATATAACGGAGGTGAGGTGCTGCCTGGTAAGATATGGGGCTGTCAGGTCAGGTGCCTTTATAGTTCAGGTCAAATTTTTCAGGGTAAAGGTGGTCAGAGCCATGTTCTGGGAATGTGTTTAATACACTGATCCAATTTTATCTGTGCAGTAGTTTTAGACAAAATGTACATCCCTCCCTCTGTTTTCTTCTGTGGTGCTTGAGGTGGATGGTGAAAGCCTCAAGGCACCTGCATTTAATCTTAGCTCTAAAGAACAAAAAGGCAAAATACCATGACTGGAGAAATACACAAATAACTAGCACATAGGAGAGAGAAGCTTATGATGAAGTTTCAATCTGCCTTGAACCATTTACAAGTCAGACCAAAATGTAGTCATAAGCTTCTCTCCTTTACCCCTTTATTAGGGCCAACCTTGATTTATCTAACTTTTGCACTACAAATGAACCCTTGCCATATATACTGATGATATGATTGTTTCAAGAAAGCAGGCCTTCGCTTTTTTCATGTCAATGGTAGGTCATTTTCACCCAAAATATCAGAGATTAGAATTCTAGCAAACAAGACTAGGGTGGCAGTTATATCCATCTCTGAATCCTGGTTAGATGACACAGTTACTGATGACAAAGTTAAAAGAGAAGGCTACAACATAGAGTGCTCAGATAAGAATAGACAAGGTGATGGGTATGTGCCTGTGTAAGAAATGACTTAGCCTACAACCCAAGACCCAATTTGAATGACAATGAACTGGAGATTCTATGGTTTGAGGCATTGCTGCATAAAACCAAACCCATCCTAGTAGGAACCAATTAATGCCCACCCACCCATCATCAGTTCTTGAAATGCATTTTGAGAGTCCTGTCCAGAATTGAGCACAATTGCAAGAAAGTGATACTGGAAGACTTCAATATCTGTTATCAACAGCAAAATAATGGGCTATGTAACAGGTATAAGCAAATACCGGGCTATGTAACAAGTATGAGCAAAACAAGCTATGTAACAGGTATAAGCAAATACTGGGCTATGTAACAAGTATGAGCAAAACAAGCTATGTAACAGGTATAAGCAAAATAACGGGCTGTGTAACAGATATAAGCAAATTCTGGGATTAAACAGTTACACTTAACTAATTAACCCTTTGACTGTCACAAGCCCCTTTCTGAAACTGTCATTCTGTTGGAAAAAACAAAAAAAAAAATACCCAATAAAGTGGTCAGAAATTGGCAATTTGGTCAATTTTATGCAAATTAAAAAAGATGCCAATTTCAAAATAGGGTCCAGAATAAACAATGCAGACATTCTTGGCACTAAAATAACATATCCTCTGTTCATTAGTCATGTCTCCAGGCCCCTCTTACATTACTCTTGCTTTCTATTTTGATATTTTATTCATACAAAAAATAGATTTACTGTATTGCAGACTACTGCATTATTGTAAAAATGGTATAAATAATATCAGTGTGCACTAGTG